CGGGCGGACGGTTCTTCTTCTTCAACTTCTTCGGTGAACAAGTTGTCGCCGAGTTTGCGCTTCTTCTGCGTAGTCATCAATTGAAACTGCAAGGACTTGACCTTCCATATGGAGAACACGCACAGCATCCTCTTGCTCATCTCTCGGCTCACTCTCGAGAGGGTGGAGTCAGACGGATGCACCTCCGGGGGAAATCGTTGGCGGTATCTCCGCCAAAAGCTGACCTTGGTGTCCCTCAGCTCGGTCTCTCCAAGCATGGAATCGAGGTCATCAGAGGCCACCTTGGAGCGATCTTGCTCCATTTGCCGGAAATAGAGGGTGATGGCGTGCCATGCCCGCCGCAAGCGGGACACCTGAAGCATCTTGCCATCCCCAAGCGACAGCTTTGAGAGCCATGGCTCAACCGCGCCCTCACTGTCAAAGAAAAATCGAAATTCTTCAAAATTGGAGATACCGGTCTTGATCAAGGCTTCTACAACAACGGGGTCAAGGCTGAAGTTCGTGCCTAGCGCCTTCAGAGAATCTTCAATCCTCGAAGACTCCCTCGGCACTAAGCTCAAAGAACTAGCCATGCTGTCTCGGGGATCCCTTCCCACGCGCCTAAGCCAAAGCTGCTCGCTCGGAGGAGTCCCTCTCCTCCTGCACAATGACTACGGCCGTGACGAGTCCAGAGACGGGGGGGGAAGGAAGACATAGGGACAGACCGAACGACGTCCTCACGGACATGCTTCTGCGGCTCGGTCGATTCTCCCTGCACCTCGATCCTATCCGCCTCGGCAAGACTCCCCCCCCCCGCCGAATACCCCAATCAGGAGACTGCACTCTGTTTTCACGCTGTCTTGGTCAAGCTCGCCACGGGCAACGGATCACTCCATCGCCAAAAGGGGGGCTAGCTGCTCTTATGTGTCGCTGTGCGACAAGATGAAAACAGGTGCCACAGCCTCCTCAAGGGATCCAGGAGGCTGGTGCTCTATTGGCACAAACTTGGCATGTGGGCCTGCCCCAGGCAATCGCCTCCATCTTCGAGGTACACTTCGACGGGTTGGCCAACCGCCCTTTGCCCTTCTGGCCGCTCTGACGATGTGAGCAAAGGGGAGTGTCCTCATAGCCCTGGATGTGCAGCTGGCTGCGGGCGGTCGCGATGTATCCGGTTGGCCGGGGCCAGGCATTGCCCAGACTAGATGTGCGAAGGGTCTCATGGATCCAACCAGCCAAGGCCCTGTCTCTCAGCAAGCCTTGGATGTCGACATCCCTCACACTTGCCAAGTAGTCCCAAGCTGCTTCAAAGCGCTCCCGGAGCATAATGGCTCGGATCATACACGCGGTACCCGCCGCGCGATGCCGGCCACTAATGCAGTGGAGGAGCACATCCTCACCTCCCCACAACGTATTGCACAGGAGCGGAAACAGGTCGCGCCATTGCTCGTCTCGCCTATCAGGGTGGGCGATAGCGAACTTGCGCAGGGTCGCTCCCTGCAAGCAAATGCCACCCCGCTGCGAAGGCTCCTCAAGCATGCATGCCACTTGAAGAGTGACGGATGGAAAGGCTGATGCTGACCTGTTCGTAGGCAATCCACTCAACCACAACGTGCCGCCACTTTGGACGGACAGCACTTTGGTCGGTGCCTGCGCGCTCTTCCCCCGCACAGTGGCCAAGCGGTCCCACCGCTGGTCGCGCACATTGGGTGTGAACGCGGCCGGGGGCTCAGGCATCTCGAAGATGTCGCTGGGAGCCTCCGGTGCTGCGGCTGCTGCTGCTCGCCATGGTGGAATGACTTCGGAGGCTTTGGGTGCTGCCGCTGTCGCCGCCACCGAGGGCGGCATTGCCTTGGGCGCCACGGGCTGCGCTGGAGAGGGTGCTGCCTCAGTGTCCGGGGGTGGCGCGGTGCGCGCCTTCTTGGCCTTGGGAACCGGGACTGGACTCGGGGACGCGCTCGGGGAGCGAGGGCCTGCTGAGGACTCATCTTCACTGGAGGTGCTCTCTGGCGATGATGAACGATGTGGAGCCTCAGGGGTGTCGGCCACAGGGAGAGCAGCTGGCTCTGCGGTGCTGGGCACTGCGACATTCGCCAGAGGGGTGTGCTCGACGTCCTCGGCCACCACATAGCGCTTTGCCAAGCAGGCCTGAGCTGGATGCTTCCCTCCGCATGCACGGCCAGTCTTCAGCACAATGGCGCAAAGGTGGGCTTCACCACAGGTCCCCTCGCCCACATGGCAAGCGTCCAACTGAAAGTTGGGGCATAGCGCCTTGCCGTTCCTCAGGAAACGAGTGACCACCTTGCCCTTGATGGAAGGGGGCATCACGGCCTCGGAGCGCTTGGAACTGGCTTGTGCCGCCCGTGTGAGCGCTGCACGCTCTCGCGAGAAAGCGAACGCGCGCTGCGCTGCTGCCACCGACATCGGCTTGTCCCACAAGCTGTGCTTGTCGAGGCTCACTGCTCGCTGCACCTCGGGCTTGGCCGCGTCCACTGCGGCGGTGATGGCAGCTGGAGTTGCCAGTTCCCAGGCATCAAATTCGCCCAACCTGGCGACAAGTCCCAGCGACAGATGTTTGAGCCTCATGCTAACGAGATCGCGGCTCCCTGCATAGTGTGTCGGCATCGCGGCTTCCTGAGGTAGCTCACTCTTGGATTGCCAATCCCCCAAGGCCACCATCTCAACCGGGGTGTACTTGGCTAGCAACGCCACCGTGGGCATGAGCCGGCGCCACGAGTAGGTGGAGAGGTCGGCCACGTCGGTCACAAGGTCCTGGAACAGCTCACGACATGCGGCTTGCACCTCAGAGATGTCCCACGCGCGGCCCTCCCGATTGAAGCAGAGGCCGCCTGAGTCTCGTTGGGCCTCGGGTAACTGGTTCCGAAGGGCCACCACATGCTCTGCCCAGGGCCAGCCATCTGTGAACTGCGATGGGATGGAGAAATCGAAGCCATCACGTTTGCTCGCCTGCTTCCCTTTGGGGCAATGGCAGTACAGCGTCGAGCGGGACAATCGCACCATCTGAGCACGTTGGACATGCCGGTAGCGTAGTACCCCTACGCCAACGATCCAACTCCCCAACATCGCAGTCCAGCGAGGGTCCTGTCGGGTGAAGGCCTCCTTGATGCCACGCTCCAAGTGAGTAAGCATGGGCGGCTCGACAACGAGAGCCTGGGATCGTGCAGCTGCCCGCCGTGAGGCAGGTGGATCCAGCACGATCGCATCCAACTGCCACCCCAAATGCCCCAGTTTATTCAACCAGCGAAGCGAGTTCAATGCCCGCTTGGGTCCTTTGGAGCCGGAGGCCAGGAATGACGCCAAATCCAAATGCTCGATCGTAGTCCTGTCTCGAGAGCGCATAAAGCTGACCAATTCCGACCACGTGCGCACAGCGTTCACCACTGTCTGAGGTTCAGATTTGGTCACTTTGACCTGCGCCAATCGAGTGAGTTGCAGTTTCCACTCCGCTAGGATCGCATCTGAGAGGTTCCCCACGGAAGGGCGATGAATCCCGGCGTCCTCAAACACCTTGGCCAGCGCTTCCACTCGCCTGTTCACACTGTCAGCACTGAAGGCTTGTTGAGAAAGGGTCACTCCCTTCCGAACAGGCACTGGAGGAGCGGGTAGGTGAAGAGCAGGTGCCGGCCTGTCGCGACTCGAGCCAGCTTCCACTGTAGAGGCCGCCAACGGCATCAGCTCCTCAGTCTGCTCGGAGCGGGCCTTGGTCCAAGCATCGGCCAATCCCCGGCCCCCGGCCAGCAATGCCTCTTCCGCTGATCGAAAAGCGAAGGCAAAGTCCGCGTCGTCCAAGAGGTGGTACTGCTCCCTGAACTCGCGAACACGGGCTGCTTGGGCCACTTCAGACGAGGTCTCCGGGTCCCACCTGGAGCTCCCCGCTGACTCGACCGCATAACGCCCCCTGTCAGCCATGAGCCCTGCAAGGACTATCGCACTAGTCTGAGCCAGAACTGTCGATGCACAACGGGCACTGCCGTGACCAGAAGTTGCAGCTTTCACAAACGATCGATCGACAGACTCGACAGGACTCGAACGTGGGCAGGCGACAAAGGAGGCAGAGGGGGGGATGTACTCAACGTCGTAGGCCACGGCCCCCAGGATCGCGCGGATGGATCGGCCTGCATTCGCGACTTCCCGGGGGATACCTGGGGTCCCAACCAGGGACGACCATGGTTCCCGCCATGGCCGCCTCCCCTGCTGCCAAAGCCGAACCAGCTCGAAGAACTCCTCGGTGTCGATGCCATCGTCCCCGTCGTCCAGCCGCTCCACGGCCAAACCAACGTGGACCGGCAAGATGTCCAACGGGCCCAGGTCGAATGCGATCCACTGCAGCGCCAGGCGGTCCAAGCGCGCCGCAGAGGCATGGTAGCGCTGCCACGCGACCGCTGGCCCAAGTCCCTCTTGAACCAGCAAGCAGCGGCGGTTCCATACGCCCACCCATGGGAACTGGAAGCCGCCCCGACGGTCGGTGCACCTCGCACACGGAATGGTGGTACATACGAACCGACGAACCGGGGGGAACCCAGCGATGGAGAGGGGTGGCCCTGGAGACCCCAGATGCACCAACTCCACCACGGAGGCCCAGAGGCGCAAAGCTTCCCGCTCGCGCCCCTCAGCAACCAGCTCCTGAAGGTGGGCGCTGAACTCCATCCACGCGGCGGCATGGATCACCTGGTACCTGGTGTAGGCAGCAAGGCTTGTTCCCAACTCGCTCATGGGAAAACAGGGTCCCTCCCTGCACAAAAAAAGAACTGTCTCTCCAAGGGTTCCGCCCTCAAAAAGAGAGAACAAACGCTATTTTGGCCAAGTCACTTGAGCCAAAACATTCGTTGGTTCAAACCTATGGCAGTAATGAATACATGTTCACCCAAGCCTGCCAGACCTGAAACATGTTTATATAAGTGGAGAACCCTCCCCCTGTTCATCAAAGAAAGTGGTGGGTGTCCTTCATTGGAGTAGACCCCAAGACCGCTGGCACGCCGAGGTCGAACGACGAGTCGCCGCTCCTGCCGCGATGACGCGCGTCGCCTCCCGGGAGTTCTGCCGTGAGTGACGGCCTGGGGACGGCTGTGAGTGACGGGGCCGGGAGGTGTTCAACGGCCCTGTAAGGTCCGGGGTGGGTGATCCGTCCCGCTGTGTTTTGGTCCAAAAAGGGTTTCACTGGAGCTGTTTTATCCAAATCCGCGTGTCCATTTCTAGAAAAAATTGATCAAGGCGACCAAGAAGTCCCGTGGCAAATGGATTTCTTGGGTCTTCAGGATTGGTATACGTGACGGAACTTCCACTGGGATCTCAAGGACGGCCACGCTCCTGGTGTGCGTTTGGTCGTTTGGTCGTTGCCTTTGTTATTCGATTCTTTCCTTTCGGATGTACGCACAGGACGTTGAGCTTTCCAACAGGGCATTTCAGGTGGTGATTTGAGGAATGACCCAGGAAGCTCGTGTGGTACCTGTCACGTGAGGGATTGAACCTGAGCGGCAAAGGACTTGCTGAGCATGAGGGATCTCACCTGGGTATATCAGGCCACTAGCAGTTGAAACCGGAACATCTAAAGCTGTGGAAAAAGGAGCACTGCTGAAGCAGCAGGTTCCGTGGGTTCAGCTGTGACGAGTGGCCTTTTTAACTGGATGTCTCAAAGCCATGTGTTTTAGCTCTCGAGTAATTATGCACCATGCTCACGTGCATGCTGGTCACGCTGGTCGAAAGAAAGCCTTCAATTTGCAACACATGGAGAATCAATCAAGCAACACATCTGCCGCACAGCGGGGTTTCCCTTTAAAAAAGAAGATTGACCACGGTTGACCTTTCTCAACCGGTTTTGAATCCCCCCAAAAGGTTCAAGGCCGGATGTTATTACGGATGTTACGTTCATGTCCAATGCAGCCAAGTGCTTACCTCGCTGCGTTGCAGCCAAGGAGGGTTGGATGTTAAAGCTTATCCACTCCCAAACACTCCATGGGACTGCCATAGATGCTGCCCCATTGACCCCCCAAACCACACCCAACTGATCGGCAGTCCTATGGCATACATGGAGTGTCAGGGACTTCTTCCACTGCAAGTCGTCTGCTTCACTGGCGAGCGACGACTCTTCCGCAGGAGCTCCTGCAGCATCCTGAGGAGCGCGGCGTGCTACACACGGAAAATACCAGCAAATGCCATGGAAAACGACGGTTCTGGAGGGAAATTCCATCGTCAGGGGTGTCTTTCAACCACCCGAACTCCATGGTGCTGGCTAAGATTGGTTTCTTGTGCTTCTTGCATGCCTTGCATTGATGCTAGGTTTTCATCTAGCTAACCATGCTCGCAAAGATCGATGTATTCGATTTGGCGGCGTCAACGGTGCTCATCCTGCAGATCTTACATTTCAGTAAGCTATGTCTTTGGCCTCAGCTAGGGGTGATGCATGACAATATCCAATACTGTAACTATAGATCACACAGGCTGAACTGGTATGGTTGATTGTTGTCATTCTGTTCCAAGGGCAACAACAACAACGGTGATGAGCATGGTCAAACTGGATCACTGTGTCAGTGTCATCTGAACTCACTGAAATTCATGCCTGGAACTCCCCCCCCCGCAACCCCTGACACCTCCTCTCCCCTTGCAGTTCCATTGCAATCTTGCAGTTCAAGTTATTGATTGCACTCATGGAATAATCATCTAATAGCAAACATTGTTACTACTAGTAAGGCACCTGTTACTACTAGCGTGGCACTTGTTACTACTAGCGTGGCACCTGTTACTATGTAAGTGGATGGCATGGCCCCGATGGCCCCGAAAGGATGAGCATTTTCCTCACACCAAACAGGGCTTCCCAACTCCACGAAGCCACGATGAGACCACAGGTGAACACGAAGCCTTGAAGAACACCCTTCGTGTTGAACCTATATTTGTAAAAGAGCTTATACAAATTAAATCTACTTGATCCAGTTGAATCTATTGAACCTATTTCAGGTAATTCTCCAACTGTTGGACATCACCAAAGAAGCCATACCTTCGCTCACGCAGCTCACGGAGGACCGGTGTGGAACTGCAAGCGGCGGCTCGGGGGAGGGTCGCCCACTCTCAAGGTCCTGTCGCCCGGACTCCGGAGCGATGGGAGCGGAGCGATGCAGCGGAAATTCAACGAGACATGCGAGTAGAAGAAGACATGTTTCTACATTTGCCGCCCGAGTCTCAAACACAAATACTGGTAATAGTACGTATGGTATGTACTGATTCTACTCGTAGGTGATGGTTGTCAGCCAAGACATACTGGGCACATTCGGCAGAAAAACATCATGAACACCCTGTGTCGGGCTCGCGTCTCGTTTTCTTCTTTTTTGGGGGGGATGTCTTGGACTCATTTGTGACAACTTGCACGGACATGGAATGACTTGCCGGGAGGATGGTAAGAGCAAGTGTTCACCGAAATGAATTTGGAGCCCCGCGCGTAGCACCTGTGATTAGGAGCCCCGAGCCTATCAATGACACATCTTTCGTGCCCATCTGTTGGGCAATTGTCATGAGACCATGTCGTCGTCTAGGATGGTGAAAAGAAGGATCCAGGATACAGGGCTTTGAATAACATGGATCCCTTGGCACCGACCAGTTCATGAAGCCGAACTTGCGGCCAATCCCCGAGTCCAACGGGGACTCGAGCAAAAAAAACGAGGATGCCACAACACTCCGGACTCCTAGACCCTTTCTCACCTTTAAGGACCTCCCTCAGGTCACCAAGTTTCACCACCGGATTTCTGCAGGGATCTCTCGAAGACACCGACCTCTCCCCACTGGGGAGACCTGCAAACCTCTCCCTCTCCGCCACGGGAAGACACTGAGCGCTCGGTAGACCCAAATGGGTGCGCCAGCTTCAAGCGGTTCAAGCGGTGTTGGTGCGCCTCAACCTCATAGGGCCTCTTCTGAGGCTCTTCTTGGTGGCCGTTGATGGTCACCATCGCAAAAAGGAAGTGCAAAAGCGCCTCAAAGAAAGCACGTAGTGAGTGTGGCGACGTAGATTCTTTTGGGCAGCCCGGGCACCGGTGAGATTTCATGTGGCAGGGCTTGGAGGCTGTATTGAGAATCACAGTGTTTACTCAAAAGAGTGTTGCTCATTTACATATGGTCCAAATCTTGTAACACCGGGCTGAAACAAAGTTGAGTTTCCAAATGGATGAAGCACTCTATGGTGCGTTGCATTTGACCAAACCCCCGGCTCATTCAACTTTGGGTAGCCACATCGGATCTACCATACAGTATGCCTTTCTTCTCGGCGGCACAAAACCAGTGGCCTGTGACCTTGAATCCTTTTTCCTCAAGGCGCAGCACCAAGGTGAAGCATACAGTTCAACTCCATCTAAGCCCCTCAAAAAGTCTTGTCTTCTGTCTAACATCATGTCGCTCGCTCGGCCTCCCTCACCGGTCTTCGCCGGTCTTCCTCCGGTCTTCCCCCCCCCCAAACGGGTCCTCGCTTCGCCCGTCTACCGTCTCCGGTCCCAGTGGCTGTCATCCTGAGCCGCTCGAGATCGCGGAAGACCGACCGACCGGCCCCGACAGAGCCGACGGCGTGTCATCGACGGCCCCGACGTGGACAGTCGACGCGTAGCCAAACCTGACGAAGACGTCACATGGTTACGTGGATGGCGTGACCCCTTTGGAAGACTACTTTCCTTTACAAACAGGAGGTTTTCCACTTCCATGTTAGTGAGTCGGAGTGTATACAGATCAGTCTGGCATCAACGGAGAGCGACGGCATACTGTGCATCCAAATGACCTGGTTCAAATTAAAATATCATACAGTCATACAGTGGTTTCAGAGTAGATGGCAGAGTGGTTTCAGAATAGATGGCACCACTGAAATCCTTGTGGGACCCCACAAAGGGTCATATCCAAACAATCTAAGGATCTACCTATGCGCTCGCCCCTTTTCTACCACGCAAGCGATTTGTAGTGATTTCTTCAACCGATGGCTAAGCAAAACCTTCACCACTCAATGGGTGCATGATTGCAAAGATGGCGGAAACATGAAGCACAAACCACCTGTGAGCTGGCCAATGCCACTTGGTATACATTAATTTGTGTCTTTTCTTTTCATGGTTTTTCTTTTTTCATCGTCAAAACACATCAAAATACCTTGCAAGGTTTGATGCACGAAACCGACCCGAAACAATATTATGTGAAAAAGGGAGAAACATATCAATGCGGCATGACTCTTGGAAGAAGAAAGTCATCACACCAACTCCCAGGAGGTTTATTGTTTCAATTATGAAGACTTCTCATCATGGTCACATCATCCGCGAAAGCAGCTGAGTCTGATTCCCAAACTTTCATGGATTGCACGGAGGGTGTGAAGGATTTCAAGATATTCTTTACTGACATTATGGTTCACACTATACATACCAATTTCATAGATTATATCTGTTGCACCGCGCTGCGCGCAACAAACACTCGCAACAAACACTCGCTTAACTGATGAATGAACACATATATAGATACATAATCTGCGTGATATGCTTCTTGCAACTTGGCATCAAGAACGAGCACATCACCACCATTTCCTGGTCCATCAAATCTCCAGTCAAAAACACCAGCGGTGCAGCAAAGGTCAGTGCTCGGATCAAGAGTCGAACACACCAGTGGCGATGATCCTGCGTGCGCCGCACAAGAAAGTGTTTGAGGCGTGCGCCAAAGACACGAAGCGTGAGGAAAGAAAACACTCGGACGAACACATCACGTTTGAAGTGAAAGCAAGTGTTCCCAGGAGCCCCATGTTCGACTGCGATTCTGCACACTTGCTGAATGTAGTGTCCAGCATGTTCCTGTAACCGAACGATCGGGCAATCCACAACCAAACCTGTGTATACATGTTAAGTGGCATCCTGAATACTAGTTGATCATGAATCATTGCGCGATGCTGTAGGTGGACAATCAGAGCACAACTTGAACAAGAATGTCATTGGAGATGGTCGTTGAAGATGCCTTTCATCTACACTCCGCAAGACATGCAAGTGGAAATAAGTGGAACAATGAGTTTTGAAAAGGACTCTACACTCCCAGGAATCAGCATGGAAGTGGAAAATGATTGGTTTGGTTTTAATAGAGGAAAATGGCCAAACCCAGGCCAGGGGCCTTCTGTCCACTTCCTGATTCAAGGGAGCGTCGTCATCTCTATGTCTTCCGGCCTTCTGTCACTGAGTCTCTACAGTCCTTTTCCTTTGACCACCAAAAGCGTCGACAAAACTCCGACCAAGTCAGGTAGGGGAGATGCTACCCACCCGCTCCAAGAAATGCTGAAGAAGAAGTCCCTGCATTTCACTCCCTACTTCACCAGCTGACCAGCTAGTGTTGACAACTCTCCCCCTGATGAAACATCCAGTTTCACCCGGAAATTGCAGCATCTAGTGTCAACAGAACCAAACAGTTTTCACAAGCAAAGCCAGCTGACCAGCGGCACCCTGTACATTCACATATTCTGGGTCAATGATGTCCTTTTGAGAATCATACAGGGGTCGGTTTGGTATCGTATACCTATTTGTTGTTGAAACTCTGGGGGTAAGCCTTCTATCAACCAACCAAGTGTTAAAAGGCCATCTATGTTGTGGGTATGATAGATGCCCACGGATGCCCATGGGCAGGAATCGTGGCCCGCTCTGTCGCATCCGTCGCATCCGCTCCTTTTTACTCTGTACCTTGGGGCTCACCATGCGATTGGCTACCTTGGAAAGTCACCGTGCTTCAAAAAGGGCCACCCCAAAATAAAGCGGGCTCGGTTGGAAGTGGAGTCAGGCCCGTTTTTTAGTGGAAGTGGGAGCCTTCATGTTCATGTTTTCAGGCCAGATAATGGTAGTGGACGCAGGTTAGATCGGTTGGTGACGTCCAGCCCTCTTCTTCCGGGAAGCAAACCCACCCCATGTTTTCAAACTGGGCCTCTGAAAGGGATCAAAGGTTGTTCATCGCTTCCTCAGAAAGCTCCAGGTACAAACAGGATCTCTTTCCTTCGATACCTTTCTGCAGTGTTTGTAGGCACCAACACCATGCATGCGGATTAAACTTCGACAAGAATCATGTTTCTCAAGCTCTCCAAACCCTTCACTACCTCAGCCACGTTTCACCCACTGACTTTGTGCTGTGCCAGCGAGGTTGCGCTGTTTGGACCATGCTTGCCCCCCTGGTCTAAAACGGCCCTAAGAAGCTGACACGTTTCATGCTTCATCGCCAGTTTCATCTGAGTGAAAAGTACATGGGTCACCATGAAATGAGGAGAAGCATATCGCTGCGACAGGCGGCAAGAACTCCAGACAAAATGAGGGTGATGAAGAGATTCACCTGGGAAGTCATGGAAGTCATGAGCTTTTGGAAGTCATACAAGCCAGCAACCATCACTTTTCGGGGAAGTCATGGAAGTCCTTGGTTGGAAGAACATGGCTTGAGCTTTATCTCTGCGGGGAAAACCATTTCCATGTCCAGAGTTTGTAACGATGATCCATGTGCAAGGATTTCTTCATCAAGGCCGTGCACGAGAGACCTTGCTCTATATGGTCATGCTGGAGTAGGTCAAATATATAAGGAAAGCCACAACCAATATTGAAGAAAAACACAACTATATATATAATTTATATAATATTGCGAACGGATGAAAAGTGTGCCCTGGCCCCGTTCTAGCCCTTAGTTCAACATGAAGCTCGCGCGCTAAAGCTCCTTTTTACCTGGTTGGGCACTTGAGCCAAAAGTATATGGCATGTACCTGTATAGCAGCTATACTGGGACCTCATCCCTATTGACACCCCCCACATCCGTACTTCGACGGGGAAGGGAGATGAGTGGATGTAAAAACCGGAGAACGAATCACGTTCTCAAAAGTGTATTGGAGGTCAACCAGTATGTCCTATTGAATTGAATTAGCAAACGATCTTGCATTCGCTTGAAAGTTGGATCAAACAGGTAATGGAGCTACAAACGGAAAACGTGCGCCTACCTATGGTATCATGCGATTACCAACGGTGTGAAACACAATCCTATCTCACTCCCATGATGCCAAAACGGTCATCATGAATTACCCAAGATCCCTCAGTACTTGAAGTACCGGAAGTGGCATGTCGGTACGACCCCAATGCTCAACCATTCGTGAGTTGTCGCATGTAGTCAGCAGCGACAAAGCCAATGTAGTCCTTGATGAGCTCAACGTTCCTCGGATTTCCCGCTCGGATCTGCTCCTCGAAGAACTTCAATTTCTGTGCTTGGATAGCGGATACCTCTATGCCATAATAGCGGCATGCAACGAGGATCTCCTTCGTGACATTCTTCCGCTCCGATTTGATGGCGGGACTAATGTCAATGAATTTGTATGGAGCGGCACTTTCGTCATCTGGTTTCTGGTAGTAACTATATCGGCTCGCTCCGAAGGTCTTCCTGATCAAGCGTCTGATGAAATTTGAGATGAATGCCAGTTTCTCGATGATCTCTTCCTGGGTCTCTGACTTTCGAGCCTTTGGATCACTCATGTTACGCCGAGTGCTGCCGACCTCTTTGAGGTACTTGTGGCTAAGCCCGCAGCGGATTGCAGTGATCATCATCGGGTGAACAACGTGGGCGTGGAATTCATAGATCTGCCACGCTTCTGTTGCATACACGTCGTTGGTCCATTTGCTCATGCCTACGACCTCGGCTCTCTGGAGACGTCTTGGAAACCCAGTATCCGGATCATTCGGTACTATTGGCCATCTATTGTACGGAGTATCATGCCGCTGTCCATCGTCGAACTTTCGCAGCACATCTTCACGACTCTCAAAGCAGTTGATGTCGAATGTTGCGTTGGCCAAGCTCTTGATCAACTTCATCAACCTCAGATCAAATTGTTGTGTGACTGCAAAGTTGTGGTCGATGGGGATCGCAGCTTCTTGCGGCAATTCGTCAATTGCGAAGGGGAAGGGCTGTGGAAGTTCATTCCCGTATCCATCTTGAGGGACCTCCCGATATTCGGGTTCGCCTTCAGCTTCGTCCGGTCGTTCCTTCAAAATGATAGGAACTTCCTCCTCTTCCTCTCCTTCGGATTCCTCGACCTCAATGACCTCTTCGGCTGTCTTGCGTGCGTTCTTGATGACTTCATCGATGTTCGCACCCGCAGCAGAAGTTGCTTCACCGGAAGGACTGGCTGGGACATCTCTCGGAGGTGATCGTTGATTGCGGTCCCTTGTCTCCTTGGGTACCACATGCGTGAGCTTCCCATTCGCGATCAAAACCGCTACGCAGTGCGGACATATCGTCAATCGCACATCGACTTCGCCAAGACAGTTAGGACACGGTCTTGAGTCATAGTCTTTCATTGCCCGGCGGTATACGATCTCCTCAAAGATTTCCTGCCACTCGGTGCTATCATATTCTGGGTAGACACCACTCTCCTCGATCATGCCCAACAGCTTTGAGATTTTGGCGTCGTCCTCGGAGTAGGTATCGTCCTGAACCTCAACCGCTAAACTCTCAAGCTTTTGATAGCGTGGAATCATGATCGGGTTTCCGTATTTGGACTCCAGAACAAGGTAGCTTCCAGGGTCGGGTTCCCTATTGAGTAACCTGATCCATTCGATCTCCTCAGGCTGTCCGGGTTCCGCATTGTCGCATTGCAACCATGCCCCTTTAACCTCATCGAAGGGAACGACGTTCTCAACCAATAGAGATCCAGTCGCTGAGATGAGAAGTCCGTACTCCTGCAGCTTCCACACCGGAATGTAGAGAACCACTGGGCGATCACTCAATGCGACCTTACGACCCAGCCAAGGTTTTCCCTTGTAGCCCTGCTCCCAGGCCCATGGCGGAAAACATGTGAAGTGGATGGAATCCCTTCCCGATGAACCGAGACCTCCTGGCACTAGCCCCCGTCGCATGATTGAAGTCAGTGCTCCAAGATCGGTAGCGTGAAATGCAGTCACCATAGATAGGGCCATGTCGTTGGTCATTCTCGATCCAATGTGGTCGATGTTGATGGTAACGTCATAACCTCCGCCGTCCGTTGAGTGTGCTGAGGTTGCTCTTACGGCCACGGGAAAGCACCATCCATCGCTATGGTGGAGTCTTCCTTTGGAGATTCCCATGCCCTTGAGTTCGTCAATCCATTCCTTCTCCATCGGGTCATCAGGGTCATTGAGTTCATCAGGGTGAACGCGGACCGCCAACATTTGGAATCTGATCCTCTTGGTTATGCGGAAACACTCATAGTTCTGGTCGAAGTACTTCTCCAAACGCGCCTTCTTGGTCACGATGTCTATGTTGCCGTAGTGATAACCGTCTTCCCAAACTGCGTTATCACCTAACAGGTCTTCCCATGACACCCATGCGCCTTCATCGCATTTGATTGGTGTGAGTCTTCCTCCCGTCCTGAACTGGCGTCCAATTCGATGCCTCAACTTCGCTCCCAATCGACGACTCAGGGCCTGGCTCGCTTGGCTGTATTCAGGTACTCGACAGTCTGGAGTCGGATACTTGTGGTTGCCGTAGTCGGAGTTCTGTGCGGCGAAAGTGACTCTGTTGATCGGTACTAGCTCAACTTTCCCGACCATCGTCATGGGGTCGATCGGCTTGTATCCCTTCTCCCTCCGTGTCGGTAGGGGATAGAAGTGATGACATGCCTTTGGTGTGAGGGAACTGGAGTGCACAAATGCCTTCTCTACAAATTCGTACACCACCCTCATATCCCTAGGGCCTACTTCCGCAAGCTTCCGCCCATTGTAGGAATGTGTCCCTCCTTCGACTCCATCAGCACTTTCGATCAAGGTGAATCCGTCATGGTCGAACATTGTCACGACTCTTGCTTTCAACATTTCTTTTCGCCTGAACTCGCTGTCGATCTTCCTATCTGGAGTAGGCGATGCTCTCTGCTTCTTCTTCTTAGGCTCCTCGGTTGGATGTCCGGATGGTACATCGTCGGGTGCAACCTCTCCCTTCACTCTCTTCTTCCAATCACTCAACACTGAGGTGACTGTAGGTGAAGATGAAGGGGTCTTCTCGCAATTGAGAGTTGTGTGTCCCGACTTCATGCAGTGGATGCAGAATTCTGCTTGCCCGATCTTCTCCTCGAATTCGTCGATGGCTTGCAGTATTGATGTCTTCGGGTCGGACATGTCAACGTCTTGCTCCTCCTTCTCCTGTTCACATTCAGTCTCCATATCGACACCTTCGGCCTCGGGCTGGTCAGTAGCCTCTGTTCCCTGTTCTGGTTCTTTCCCAATTTCGAAGAAGTGGTCGATGTCGAATTCAGGAGGCGGCATGGTCCTCATGCGAACGAGAATCAGTGCCACGTTTGCCGCCTCATCAGAGTGCGGGTCCAAGGTCCTGATCGTCGATCGTTTTCGGTTCTCATACGTTGTCCTGTCGTACAGCGATGCAGTGACGCGTTTGATGGATTCTTCTAATCCCGTCCTCAAAGCTTCGATGTCACCCCATCCCTTGAACAGGTGTCTGAAGAGTTGAGCAATTTCGAACATGCCCAGCAGCGCTTCCACCATGTCACCTACCCGTTCCTCCGTGGGATCATCTCCGAATATAGTGCGGAATACATCGGGCTCCAATATGGTCTTGAGGTATTTGGTGTAGCACACGTTTCCAAGGTCATAGGATCCCTGGTAGTACTTGGCGCTGCCGACTATCTGCTTTTCCACATGGATGCTGGGTCCTCTCCTCGTTTTGAAGAAGTTCTCCGTCATTGTTGATGACAACCTGATCCCCCCGAAGAACGAGATCTCCTTCTGGAAACCTGGGTTCCCGTTAAAGATGATCATCGCCTCGTGTAAGAACTTCATCAAGTCTACGTGTGGGTTCATCTCGGAGATCATGACGGTGGGAGAAGATACCGTTTGCCCCATGCCGAAGTTGTGAAGCAATCGCGCACATGCATGGAATCGCTTCTGGACGTAGTCTTCTGCGGACATCCCACGGCATCTATTTGCTGCTCCGTTGATGCATTCTGCATAGCAATCGTCTTTCAAATCGGAGTCTATGGGATTGCAGACCAGACAGTAGTCGCAGCAAATTTCCTCACCCTCCTTAAAGT